TTTATATTTTCTGAAATCTATTCTCTGGAGTAATACAAAATGCACACAAATACACACCATATTTCTCACAATATTATGCACAGTAGCAAAGCAAAAACTAAAAAAAGTAAATATCCAACACAGGAGAATATTTACTAAATAGTTACTTCAAATAAAATACTATGAAGCCATTAAATTATTTTTATATAAAGCAATTTTGATGAAAGGAGGAAGTACTTATGTAATAACATTAAGAGAAAACAGCAAAACATAAAACTATGAGATACCATCGCATTTTTAAAATGCAAAGCGCAAGGGAAATATACCAAAATGTTTATAAATAGTAAGATACAATTACTATTCTCTTAATGATAGTATTCTACATCTTTTACTTATATCTGCAATTAAAGTACAAAAATTTGCTGGGAATGCATGAAGTCCTCCCAAAAAGTGTACCATGTAGCATCAGAAAAAAAGTTTAAAAAATATAATCCAAATATTCAGAACTATATAAGATAAAAATCTATAAATCCTTGGTTGTATGGAATTGTCCATTACTTCTGTGAAGTGGTCTGTGGCTTTCACTTACTCCCCACTTTTTGCTGAATTTCAGATTGCTAGATAGTCAACTTGTGGATGGGACACATTCTTTAAAAGAAAGACAGGATACAGACAGAAGAGAAACAGAAAAAAACGGGGGGAGAAGAGGTTCTAAGCCAATGCTTTTAGACAGTGTCTAATGATTTCTTTTTCATTAATCAGATCTTAGAAATTTAGAAGCCACAGATGGTGATGACTGTCATCAAATCACTCAGGCTGATTTATCAGTGGATGAGCATTAAAGAAAAATTAACCTCTCTAGAGACCAGGATATTTTTAAACTAACAATTAAATCTTTCCTAAAACTGGGAGGGAGGAACAAAGAATGTGAGAAAGTGAAAGCAACTGAGATAGCCTGGGAAGAAACTAAGCAGTTGAACCAAACGAGTGTCTTAGGACAGAAAGGTTATTATATCTCCTGGTATTATACCAAATTTCTATCCTAATTCCTTTGTATTATGATGAAAGATTTTTCTGTTAAATAGGATTATTTTTTATTTTTACCTCTGACTTTAATTGAAATTATTAACATTGAAGTTATGGAGGAGAAGGCAGTGAACTTTTGACTTTACAATACACAATGAGACTCATTCATCCATACATACACAGCCTCCACCAAATCTGCAACTTGGCATCATCTTGTGAAGGGATGACCAATGGCTAACTAAGCTCAGAGTGGATGGTAGAACAAATACACTCAATTTCACTTCTCAAAGCTTCTTAAGATCCATTTTTAAAAAATTCTATCTCTACAAACATTACATGCTAAGAAAAGACTAAAAATATTTTATAGTGGTTTGAGGAAAAGACAAGCTCCTAATCTGTTCTCATTCAGCATCAGTGGCATAATTCAGCATTTGCAATCAGATTTCTATCATGAAGCCAAATGATATATTTTGTTATTATAATACCCTCATGAAATACTGTTAGTTCATTACAGATGAAGCAACAGAGATTGTAAGAGATTAATTTGCTAAAGATAACATCAGTGAAGCTAGAGAGACATCTTGGAACTTTTTCTTCAGTCTAGCTCTCAATCCTGTTTATTTCCAGTGCTTCATGTTGCAGGGTTTACCAATAGGCTGATTCTGTGTCCAAGTATTTGCCTCTCAGGGCCATGCAAAGCACATGTGTACCTCTGAAGATCAGTAGCTGCTCAACAACAATGCAAGAAATTGGAAAATTATTACTAAATAAGGAAAAATTGGGTGATGGAAGGTTATGACTGACATCCATTGCCATCTTGATATCTAATCGCATCCCTTCATCAATTAAAATGCCCTCCCTCTTCCCCTCCCCCTCCCTCCTCTCCCTCTCCCTTCTCCTTCTTCTTCTGCTTCTCAAAACCACTGTCAACATTTCTCTTTTATGGTTTATACTAAAGCCTTTCCCTAAAGAACTGTCTGGAAACTACACTTTACAGAAGATCTGTTTTCTACATAACAGATTCCAGACCATATTTTCAATGCTCTCCCCTCTTTCTTCTAACTACTTAGCATAGTATATTGCTAAATATTTAACCAATTTAACAATGCTATGCAAATGAACTAGCATTAGTGTGCTTGTAGGGTCAGAAGGGACCCTTGGGGAAGGTTAAAAGACCCAAGCCCCTTTTAGAGGGTAGAAAATGCAGGCTCTGTATGGCTAAGAGCAATAAGCAGTTTTCAAGCAGGTTGTGGTTTAGAGCTGATAGTCTGGTTTTGACACCTGCCTCTGTGGGCAACACTGGCCCTCCTAGTACAGGTCTCCACACCTACCTGTTATGGCTTGTATCTAGATGTCCCCCCAAAGCCTCATGCTGTCATAGGTGGGGCTTTTTCAGAGGCAGCTGTATGTAGAGTGTGTGATAGGTTCATGGTACAATGTTGGGATTAAGGGTGAGTGATTACTAAATCAGTCCACTGATTGACTTGGCACCTTCCCTAATCCCAGTAGCCTAGATATTAAAGGGGCAGAAAGACACTGCTAAGGTCTCTTGCTTGGTTTGCTACTTTCTGCCCTCCATGAACTCTTTCTCCTCTGTGATGGCCCTCTGCTATGCTATCCTGCCTTGGACTGAAACTTTCCTGCTTTAACTTTGGGCATCAGTTATTTTGTCCCAGTAACAAGAGAAAAGTAACTAAGGCACTACCCCAATTCCCCTATTAGTCTACAAGATCAAATCCTTAGCAACAAGCCCAATATTCAATCTACCAAGTATTGATCCTCAAAGGGTTAAAGACAAGATTCCTACCTCTGCCCCATCCTATAGCAGTAGGATCAGAGAGGAAATGTAGGGACCCTAAGAAGGGGAGATAGGCAGAAATGCAAGGCATGGCTAACGTGACGTGGCTGACAGCTACAAGAATGACCACGTGGTTACTGGAAATTGCCTCTTGAGAAACATTTACAGGTGTAGAACAGTTATTCTTAGAGACCTGATTTTATACACTTGAAACCTCTGAAACTTCATAAACCTTAGTCCACCTGAGCAACAACCTCACTCCAGCAACAAAGGCCAAGACCCTGATTGGTTTAAAACACCTATAAAAATAGGCAGAGCAAGGACACCATTCCAAGGAGCTCACTTTTGAGCACGCCCTGCCAAGCAAACTTGTTGGACAGCTTTGTCCTCACCTTCTTTGCAGCATTATAAGTAAACCTCTGCTTCACACTACTTCGGCAGTTTTCTGAATTCCTCATTCTGTAGTGGATGATCTGGAGGATCTGCGGCTTTGAGTCAGCTTTGCTCTACCCGTGCTGTCCCTCTCTAGGATGACAGCAAGAACTCCAGGAATGGGAAGATCCGGCTTCAGGAAATCCCTAGATCACCAGACCCCCTCTGTGATGTTAGATGGTGAAAGCACAGCTTATTTAGTGATTAGGACATTAGCATCTCACTTCTATAACTAAGCAATTGTGTTATTTGAGGCAAGTCTGTAGGTCTCAGTTTTCTTACTATAAAGTGGGTATGGGAGTAGGAAGTGGTTAAACATATACATTCTATAATCTCAATGAGGCTACGACTATTTTAGATATATTTTGATCGGGGCTGAGAATATCTGTACTTTATTCCATTAAGGATAAGAGAGAAGATGAATAATATTTCTAAAGAGAAGACTATTAATAATAAGACAAATATCTAACATATAAGCAACCAAATGACTAATCACCCAACAGGCAGAAGAAACCCAATGTGTCTAGAAAAAAAATAAAAGAGAAAGAGAGAAGTACTGAGCCAGGACGGAAATGTGGATCCTGCTTGAGAGATATGAAGTGGTTATAAGGTGCAGTGAAAGTGAAGACAACATAATAACTAAAAACTGGCATTGGTGGTTAAGCAAATATTCCATTATCTTATGGCTTTTGGAAAATTTGTTTTTGTTTCGTATCTTAGCTTGAAATCAAGTGTTGAGAATGTCAGCATTGATACTGTTTATATTATAATGTATCCTAAAAACATTCTTGTGGAAATAAAAGCAGAAGTTCCTAATATTAAAATAAAGATAAATATTATCAACGTTAGAAATCCATTTATTTCTATATTTTTTCCTTCTTTTACTGTGGGAGAGAGATATAGTAAATTTAATTGGGATATTTCTGCTACACAATTATTTCTATTAAAGACTTCAATAATTCTAAGGAATAGTGTACAAGTCTCATTAAAATTGAGCTTTAAAAGGTAACAGATAAAAATAGTATTGAAAGGATGTCTGTCCACAATTTCATTACTAAGTTCCCTTACTAACTTAAAGCATGAAAGAAACCAAAATCTATAGTATGGTACTGGGGTTTGGTTTCATCTGAGTCGCTATGGAAAATTAAGCCAAGTTCAGCTTAAAATTTCAAGGTATTTTTAATGCTTCTTTAGAAAAGAAAATATCTGTAATTAAAAAAATACTTGAATCAAATAATAGCTTTCAGATTATCTAATGTAAGCTTTCAGCTGGCATCCAAAACTGAAGTAACACTTTAAAAGATTAGATCAATAGTGTACATGGTTGATACAAGGTCCAGAAAATTCTACTTTAAAAAAAAGGGCAAAAATGTAAAGGTAGTGATATTTAAGAGAGATTTTTAGCAATGTCCTGCAAAAGTTTTGACACTAAAACTGTACAGAAACTATTAACCCATATTATATAATTTTTAATCTAGCTTGCCCTTAACCTTCTAGCTCAGAAAAAGGTATGTATGTATGTGTGCATGTATGTACGTAGTATGTAGTATGTACTGAGACAGGATCTCACCAGTTCAGGCTGTCCTTGAACTCACTATGTAGCCCATGCTGGCCTCTAACTCAGGGTGATCCTCCTGTCTCTACCTCTCAGATGCTGGGATCACAGGTGTGTTCCACCATGCCTGGCAAAAGGTCTAAATTTAAACAAGGTCTATACAGAAATTTTTCCTGGAAAAAAATTTTGTATACGTTAAAACAAACATACCTGCTTCATCATAGGATACAGTCAATTTTTCTAACATTTCTCGGTCAATTGACAGAATCTGCTGTTCAAGGATGGTCTGGTAAGATAATACACTATTTTCTTTGTCTTTTTCATAGTCCTGAAGATGCTGTTTAAGGGCCTCTGGGAGTCGAGATTTTACATATTCAGCTGCAGTCTGCAAACAGAACAGAGAACTCCATTAGTATTTTTCATCTCATGCTTTTCACTTACCCTGAGGTCCTGTAGAGAAAACTCAAAGCACTGTGCCACCAATTCCCCATACAAGTGTGTCCTTCTCATTGTGACTTTTAAACTCCACTGCACCCTGAAGATGGATCTTCAAATAGACAGAATCACAGACCTCGAAGTTTTTTCTACCAAGTTTTAAAGGTATAAAAGATAGGTTTGGTTTGTTATTCACAGTTAGTAATAATCAGACTTTCAAGTATTCCAAAGAACTCTGACAGCCCCCTGATAATAATTTTGCTGGATACAAACATGACTTGCACAAGACAGTCACTCATCTGAGAAATGAGCTCACCTATGCAATACAAATCCCTACTTCGCTTTGCTGTTCTCCATTCTCTAATATACATAGGAACTCTTATGAACTAAATAGGAAGTAGAGCTTACTGCTAGGGTTAATAATGGAGTAATGAGACAAAAAATTAGATCTAAGATGATACCTGTTAATTGGAAAATAAGTCAAATCATTATATATTACTATATATAATATGTACATATAATATTCTAATTTGTTTTGATTTTTATGCAATTATTTATTTGCTTCTAGACTACTTGCACACACATTCAGGCACATCAGAAATCTATGCAATGATTTTTCAATCAGGTAAGCATATTCTACTTGAGGGCTGGAAGAAAGTCATGTGTATTTTGAAAAAGGCCTTACAAAAGACTCTGATAAATTCTTTTGGTGGGCTACAATAGTAGCATATGCTTCTCCCTCCTAGTTGAGAATCAGTGTAATAGTTAAATCACACTTTATGGAAAAAATTAAATGATGAATGAATGAACCAATCAGGTGAGTTAGGAAATTCTTAAAACATATCTCTTGAGATTAAGGTTTTGGCATATCCTTGTAGTATAGTCCTGCTTCACTTGCATAAGTTAAAGTTGATAAGCCAATAACTGAAGACTATATATTCTAAATTTATATTTATAAACACTAAAACATTACCCCAATAAACTGCTAAAGAATTGTCTGTGGGGTATGGATCTAGAATAAGACAAAGACCCATCTACATAGTTTAATTTTTAAAATACTGTAGGGCTTGACTAGTATCAATTAAAATATTTTGAGTTGCAAATAAATGAAAAGATATCTCATGTTCATAGGTAGGAAGAATTAATATTGTTAAAATATCCATACTACCCCAGTTGACTGATAGATTCAATACATCTTTACCAAAATGAAAATGAAAATGAAAATTTTCATAGAACTAGAAAAAAAATCTAACATTCATATGGAACAACTAAAGACCTCATATAGTCAAAACAATCTTAAGGGAAAGAAAAAGCTAGGGCAGCATATTACATCTGAAATAAAAATATACTATAAAGCTACAGGAACCAAATCAGCATGGTGGTGACATAAAAACACACACAAAACAATGCAACAAAATAGAGAGCATAGAAATAAATATATGTATCTATACTTGGCAGATTTTCAGTGAAGCTAGCAAGAATACACATTAGGAAAAGAAGAGTCTCTTCTATAAGGTGTTGGAGAAACTTAATATCCACATGTAAAAGAATAAAATTAGACTCTGTCTCTCACTAGACATAAAACCTGTAGGACTTGAACTATGCAACCACTAGAAGAAAAATAGGAGAAACACTGCATATTATCAAGGACTGTTTGGGTAAAATCTCAAAAGCAGACATGATACAAGCAAAAGCAGGGAAACAACATTACATCAAATTAAAAGGCTTTTGCACAATAAAGGAAATAAAGTGAAGAGACAATTTATAGAATGGGAAAAATATTTGCAAACAAGAGATAAATATCCAAAATATGTAAGGAACTCAAAACAACTCAGTAGCAAGATAAAAACAAGCTGACAAACAAAACCCCACATAAATAATCCAATTTAAAAATGAGAAAAAAGATATGAATAGACACTTCTCAAAAGAATACAAAAAAATGCGCAATAGGTATATGAAAAAATGCTCAACCTCACTAATCCTCAAGGAAATGTAAATCAAAACCACCATATCACTTCACTCCAGTAAGAATGGCTATTATATAAAACACAAAAGATAACAAATGTTAATGAGGAAGTAGAGAAAAGGGGAGCCTTTATACACCATTTGTGGGAAAGCAAATTAGTACGGCCGTTAGGGAAAACAGTATAGAAGTTCCACAAAAAATTAAAAATACAACTCCATGTGTTCCAGCAATCCCACTACTAGGTACACTAGGTATATAATCCAAAGGAAATGAAATCAGCATGTTGAAAAGATAGCTGTACTCCCATGTTTACTGTAGCAATATTCAAAACAGCCAAATCAAACTGTCAACCAATGGACGAGCTAGTAAACAAAATGTGGCACATATACCCACGCAATACGATTTAACCATAAAAATGAAGGGAATCTTGACATTGGAGCAACATGGATGGACCAGGAGAATAATGTGTTACATGAAATAAGCCATGAACAAATATATATATATTGCATGATCTAAATTTCAAGAGAGCTATTCTATAGCCATTTAACTATAGTTAATGATGATATACTATGTCCCTGAAAATGTAAAGGCAGTGGATGTTATGTGCTATCACCACAAAATCTATAACTATGTGAGGTAATACATTTGGTAATTAGCCAGATTTAACAATGTCACAATGTATATATTGTATATATCAAAACCTATTGTGCAAGATGACAATAAATACTGTAAATTTTAAAATAAGTAAAAATGATATAAAATTCATGTGAATCAAATATAGGGATATTTAAATATACATAACTATGCATAAAATCTGATATATGCTGATCAAGAAAGGTTCAGAGTTTTTTCATTTATAGACTAGTATACCTACATATCTATAGTATCTGTTCTTTGGAAAAATATGAGATATGATTATGTGTACTGACAGGAAGAACATGATGCATTATTGATGAAGTTAAAAATAAAACAACAGAGTATCAGTCACTATACTTTTGATGTAAAGCATATATTTTATGTATTATATTTAGCATTATCATATACTATTCATAGGAAGAGATGTAGAAGGATTCATGCTCCAGGTGTGGGAGACACACTTTACCTTCTAAAGTCCAGTTTTGTTTTCATGTTAACTACTGTAATTTTTAAAAACTGCCTTTAAAATGTATGTGTAACCTTCATAGCTTTCCTTTTAAATGTTAGCACATTTTAGGTTGGAAAAAAACTTACCAGTGCAATGACAACTGACTTCTCAGGAAAAGTTATGTAGGGGAGTGGTGCAGAAAAGTTATTACTTCAGTCCTTAGAGTAGCTAAAGATAGTGTACACTATTTCTTTCCAGATTTATATTTAGACTCTATAAGTTAGATGCTTATGAAATTACTTTAAAACATCACCAAATATTGTTCAATTTGTCTGCCAGCCATCTAGTGTAGAACAAACAAAGTTATTCCACAAAAGTAAACGAACTCAGAATATTTGCATAACAATTTTTTACTGGCACTGGAAAACAATATTCTGACACTGCATAATGACTATTTTTAAACTCACACTACCTAGCTATTTAGTGTAACATCTGTTTTTAATACTTTTTCCTTTGAGATATCTACAAGGTAGAGAAAAATGGTTCTACAATTTATCACATTTTGTAAATATTGATATATTCTTTACTATTGAAAGCACTACATATATTTCCTCCCAATTGTGTCCACTGACTATGTATGAAATAAAATTTACTTTCATGACTAAAATCATTATATAGGTCTTGGGCGGGTGCCTGTATCTTTGACTATATTGGGGCTATATTTTGGCATTTCGTTTCTAAAATAGAAAAACTCCATAAGCAGATTTCTTTCCATGGAAAAGATTCTTAGGAGGAACAGAAGGAGAGAAACTAGGTAAAATATTAGATTCTGTCAAGATATTTTGAGAAATCCTGTTGATACTGAGATGACATCTAAATGTATTCAAATGACAGTTTTACCTTATGTTCAAGAATGAGCTTATGTTCAAAAACATATTTTTAGCTGAGACTGGAATTATTCTACTAGTAAAAGATAATACAAAGAACTATTTAAATTTCAAAGTTTTACTGAGATTGTAAAAATGAAGTGAAAAAAATTAAAATATGGGGTTACTTAACTAGTCCTTAACCAATGATTACTGCTACTGGAAATTTAAATCTTAATTTACATATATATTTAATATTTATATCTTATTATATATATATTCTTATAAATTAACCATTCCTGAAACAACACTGTTGCTAACATCATCAGTATCCTGTATGTATGCAGTACTTTATATTTTTCCAAGCAATTTATGACCTCATCATTCTGTCTCGTCACAGTAATTTTGAGTGAAAATATATAAATTACTGGTTTGGGTCAATTCTTCAGACCCTTTAGCGTTTGGCTCAAATTCTATATATTCTGTAAATGTTGTCTAATCTAACTTTTATAAATACTTGAGAGCATCCAACAGACTTCCACATTTTGTATAAGTTTGGTGGAAATAAGGACTATATCTTACACATCATTGTGTTCTGCTAGCATCTGCTTCAGTAATTTGCTCCACAGAAGTATAACATCATGACAATAAACAAGAGTCAGGTGCTTTTAATTAGCCTTTGCAGAAAACTTTTTGACAGTTTTTAATTCTTTACCTCCAAAAAAAACTTCCTTCCATGATTCCAGACAGAGATTAAAAATATGGTTTTCTACTGGCAACTCAAACTACACTTCGTCTTTAGTTATCATCCATGTCATTATTTTAGAAAGTAATCAGCTCAAACCTAAATCATAACTTGCCTTCCTAAATGGCAAATCAATATTACAGTCTCCCACAATGTAGCAATGGGCTCAATTCTGCTAGCGATCCTTTGAGGAGTCCTGTAGAATGTACCTCAGAACTGTATACCTCAACTGAAGATTGTGTCATGGGGAGTTAATTCCCCTGGATATGCAGGGAATGTGTACTCATCT